GGATAAGCTCGGTCTTTTCGGCCGCGAAGCAGGACCCTGTCCGTTGCGCCCATGCTTCGATGCGAGGGATGTCCTCGGACTGAATTTTGGCCACGTTCTCGTCTGCCGAGCGGCCTACTCGCTAGCGGAAGTAGTTATCTATAAAGGCTGATGCACTACCACGAAACGTGACCGGTTGATCGACGAGATCGGAGTTAAAGAATGTGAACAGAATTGGTGAGAGTGGCGAGCCTTGCGCGAGTCCCGCGTTGACAAGTAGCGTGATCTCGGTACGGAAGTCATCAAATCCTATGCTGGCATAGCGATCGCTCATAAAGCTCGTAATCTATTTCCTAGTAGCGGCTGGGATCCCCTTTGCTCGGAGGCGGGCGTCGAGGCTGATTTTGTTGACTCCGTTAAAGGCCCCTTTCTGATCGAATGCGATAAGTGTCACAACTCCAAGTTTATACCAGGCTTGGTCGACTGCATTGGAAAGGACTAGCAGGGCTTGTTCCGTGGTTCTGCCTGGTCGCCCTCCGAATTGAGTATCGGGTAGCAGGCCGTGCTTTTCGGCGAGGTACGACAGTCGCCGGGCTATGACCGCCTCGAGAAGTTTGCCGAGTGTGTTGAGGAGCGAGATCGGGCGATAGGCCCCAGGGACCGAGTAGTCCGGCTTCCCCGGTTTCCGCAACACCACGATCTTTGCTCCCCGCCATCGTTTCGGGTGATGTCCTAGGTCGATAGATGCTGTGAAAATTCTGGTGATGAGCTTTCCCAAATGCTTCCACAGGTGTTTCCACACAAGCGTCGGTAGGCCGTCTTCGCCTGGTGCCGTGGAGCTTTTAGCTGTTTTAAGGGATCGCCGAATTTCCAGTTCCGTGACTGGTGGCCACGGTAGCTCCGGCGGGACCTGGGCTCGTGGGTCTTCGTGGGGTTGATCCATCTTGGAGAAGAAGGTGTTTAGGAACGCGCGTGCTTTATCCTCGTTCTCCACCAATTCGTTCGAGTCGACCTGTAAGGCTGGGACACAGCCCTAGGCCTCTCGCGGTTTTATATAGGTAGCAGCTTTCTACAGCGTTCCTTCCCTAGCTCCGTCCAGGAACTGTTTCCAGTGTGACTTTTTGGCTTTTTCAATAGTACGGGTCTAAGCTCGACGCTTTTGCTGCATCTCTTGGAAGAGGGTCACTGAGCGCGTATGGTCTCGTCCATATTCCGCACAGCTCTTTTGCCATCTCCGACGCGCGTGGTTGACTTCGGTCTGTTGGACTTTGAGGTCGGGCGTGAACCAGCGTTTGGAATAGGGGGTTGGGCGTCGGTTTGGAGTATGGTTCTCCACGGCGGACGCCGTGATTTCCGTGAGCCGTTCAACCGTCTGGTCTAGAGCCGATCTCGTTTTGATGTCTTTCCATGGGCCTATCCGCTGGAGCACTTCTGTTCCGATCTTGTCCCAGTCTGCTCGTTCGTACGCTTTCCTCGCCTTGGCGGTGGGTTTGTGACGGGGTTTAAGGCTCCACTCCGAATATGTTCCCCGGTGGTCCGACCCGTAGTTTTCGTGGTAAAGATGACATTTGATGAGCAGGCCTGGTTGGTCCGTCACGGTTAGATCGATAGTAGTGCTTTTTCCTGGGTCGTTGAGAGGCCAGAACGTCGCGGTGCCTCGAGGAAGGCAGGTTTGTAAATTGTGTTCTTGGAAGAAGGTGATGAGTTCGCTTGCATCTTCAATAAATCTAGGTTGAATGTGGTTGCCGCCCCACATTGGGTGATGGCGGTTGAAATCCCCTGAAAGTATGACGCTCGTGGATCTTAGGTCGTTCCGCCGTGCGGCTGAGATTGTGTTTTGGATTGCCGTGAGCGTGGGTTCAGCGGAGATTTCGTTGGGAGCGTATAACGGAACAGACAGGAGATAAACGGAAAACAAGAGGATCTGGGTGTCGGCAGTCCAGATCTTGATGGCGGTGATGTCTGGGTGGTCACACCGTATCTGGCGGTGCGAGGAAGTGGAGAGTTTGCGGTTAACATAGATTAGACTACGAAACCGAACTGTGTCGGTCTCGATCGTCGGGCGGTATAGCCGCTAGGCGCTGTGGTTGACGTGGGTTCGGTAGGTGGTAATGGAAGGCTCCTGGATCAGCAGAACGTCTAGGTTCTGACTCTGGTGGTCGTTGACAAATGCCTCTATCATCGGCCCCGATTTTATTATGTTCAACTGTAGTACTCGTAGGTTGGCCTCTAACATTGAGAGGGGTTGAAAGTTGCGGGGGTCAGACACTGACGATCGCCGGTTGGATGTTCACCGCTGCAGTCGAGACACCGTGGGCGTACGCCCGATGGGCAGTGTTCACGAAGGTGTGGGCCGGCATAGTGGCCGCAACGTGGTGTTTCCTTGCACGACCATGCCAGGTGTCCGAAACGTTGGCATCGGAAGCATCTCTTTTTCTTGATCTCGCGGCGTTCTACGCTGCCGATCTGTCTTTGGCTAACCAGAAGACCGTTGTTGAGGATATATTCGGCTCCCTCTGCAGAGTCAAACCAGATTCTAAGCGATGCGAATTTCCCTAGCACTTTGTCCTTCCGCTTGAGCTATGCTACCTCTTCAATCCGGTATCCCTTCTCAGACAGGTCGTTTTCTTCTATGATCTTCTCAATAGCTTCCGCGTTGGCGTTTTCTAGGTCGAAATCCTCTGTCGGGGTGCGGTGCACGACGACGCCGAACCTTGGTTTTACTAGTTTCGTGTTGTTTCCGAGTTCGTTCAGCCATTCGGTGTTGTTACGAGCTATCTCGGCCGACTCCGGGTCCTTAAATCGAATCACATAACCTGTTTTGGTGGTGCCAACTCCGGCAACCTGGGCATCTTGCGTTGATGGGGCGTTTAATAGCGCGGTGCGTATATAGGTGTTTGCGGCGTCCGTGGGGAGATAGCGGCCAAAGGTGTTTCCGTCGGTGTTGTCGTTGTCTGATGGGTCTACGAACGATCTCTGGGTGCTGATTCGGACGCAGTCCCGTTCTTTCTCGGGTCTCTGGTGGTTTGATTGGGGTGAGCTGATACTGCCGCTGGCTGCTACTGCGGCCCAGGATCTGGCCTCGGTCACTGGCGTGAGGGTTTCGATTCGTTCTCGCAGGGTTCTGATTTCGTCGTAGAGCTTTTCATTCTGATCACGAAGGACGTTCTGATCGTGTTTAACTTCCAGGAGCTCCGCTTTGGTGGATTCGATTACAGTGGTTTGGTAGGCGATAACTTCCTTCAGGCTGCTGATGAGCTGCCGGATCTCCTTGGTCGTCACCCGTCCAGTGCTGTCTTCCGTGTTGGCAAACTCAGGATTCGAGCGTGCAATAGTGGTGATTTCGTCCCCATGGCGAGGGCTTCTTCTTTTACGAGGCACAATCGACGGTTCGAAGTTCTCGCGCGTGAAAATCGCTGCCCCTCGTTGAGGGTTTGTGGGAGGGGGTTCGGGCCCTCCCGCGGGTGGGTCCGCCATCGGTCCGGGGTTAGCTCCCGCTCAGCACACACCCACAACAGTTTTATATGAAGATAATATCAACCACCACGTTCGAACAAAATACAGTCGTTCCGTCTCGCCTGTTTCCTTACAGTCGATGATGATCGGCACAGTCGGTCCATAGCGAAAACGGCTTCTACCCTGGTGACAGCTTTGTTTTCTCGGGCCCCACTGCCAAGGTCCTAGCGCAGATCAATTGACGGGGTATACAGAGTTGAGGGCCAGTTTCCGTGTCTGTGTAGGGTAACGTATCCACTTTGTAATATTACTCAAGCTTGATATAAGCGCGCTCGAATCTTTTGTTTTGTATTCTGGACTCTATTCTGAAAGAGATTAGTGTGCCTTTAGATTAACGTATCACAGTATTTTAAAACGGTTTGTAACACTGTACCACTTGAGTGGAGCTCTGTTTTTTCCCGGGATTGATTACAATCGTCATACCACAGTTGGCACTTGCCGGATCAAAAAGCGGAAAAAGTCATGACGTCGCTTGTTTTTGCTCTAGGTGGCAACTCAAGTCTTCCTCCTTAGTCTGTTTCACGTTTATATATAGTATTAGTGACAAGTTTCTCTCTCCTAGCTTCCTACCTCTCCTTGCAACATATTCCCTGAACGATCAAAAAACAGGGCGTCTTTTCTCTTTACCCCCTTCCTTCCTTTCCAACCAGATGGATGGATTGCGAAAAAGTTATTCAACTACCTTCGCACCAACAGTCAGCTCAAGCGCCTCTTGTCGGAGTATCGAGGCGATTCCTATCTGAAAAAGAAACGGCTCAAATTATTAAACAGTTCCAATCAGAAAATTGGATTCCGAATGGCCAAGTCCTCTGGAGTGGCATTCCTCGCGAAAAGGACCAAGAATGGGCTGATAGGCATCGTCTTCAAACGTTGACCACAGCAATGGGGCCACTCATGGATGAACAACACCCAGATTGTTTAAATTTGAAAAAGAATCACCGGCAATGGAGTAGATATGTTCATGGTGCTTCCGCTTATTTGCTTGGCGAATAGCTCAGGGTGAAAAGGTTATACTGCTTTCACCTCCACCACCAGAGCGATTTCATCCGTCAGGTCTGTCTTATTACCAACTCATCGAAGAGCCCATAATCTGGGGCTTAATCAGAATTCCGTTCAAAAAATCATTACAACCCATCCTATGATTGAGGAAAGCGATGATGAAGAGATTTTTTATGAGCTATGGCCAAATGACAGAAGCGAGAAATGGGTGGTGTTGGTATCACCAGCTAGGTACTGTGTACACAGTTGAGTGGACAGTGTTATGCCGTAAAGCAAAAAGTCAATTGATTCAAAAATGTAGATAGATGTGTGTTCCAAGTCCTCGTCCAATGCCCCTGAATCCATGCGGCGGGAGCCGCAGCTTAGCAAGATTACGTACAACATGTCTTTGCTTATTCTGACGGGAGGATATATCCCGACAGGTGGAACGATTCGGAGCGAGACCCTACAAGGTAAAATGGAGACAATTAGGACACAGCAACGATATAACGGAGCTGAGAAGCTCAATGACTTCCAGTGAATGGCACGTCTTTTCGTCTGAGCAGTTCAAGCATCTTGAAAAACAAAAGGTTCGTTATTTGAGATATATAAATGTCCTTGGCGAACAATCACTTATGAACTAATCTAGGATAGGTTTATCAAACCCACGTATAATATTTTACTACTATCATTATTTCTGCTTCTTCAGAACAAATTACCGAAACTCATATTATTTGGTTTATTGTATTCGCTTTTCGACAAAATAGGAGGGGCAAATATTGCGACAAGTGGAGAGAAAAGAATATTTCAGACAGCTGAGTCTGCTTCAACTGTGATCTCACTTAAAAATATCAACACTGAACAGGAGGCATTGGAGAGGCTCAGGGATGAAATAAAAGCAAAAAGGATAGCCATCGACAAGGCACATCAAAAGGCCATAAAGAAACTCAAGGACGAAACAAAAGCACAAAGGAAAGCCCGCAATAATGCACAGAAGGAGGCTGCAAGGCAACTCAAGGATGAAGCGAAAGCAAAAAGAAAATCTCTCAATAAAGCAGAGAAGAAGGCTGTGAAGAAGCTCAAGATTGAAAGGAAAGCAATACGAAAAGCCCTCGAGAAAGCACAGCAGGAGGCTGCAAAGAGGCTTAAGGACGAAATGAACGGTTAAGAAAAGGCACCGTACAAGCTGAGAAATTCGGATGAGGAATGGGAAGATGTTACTGACGGTACTCGCAATGACTTCAAGGTTCCGTGGTCGAACCATTTCGGGATATACTGGGAAACTGAATGGAGAGCTTGACACTTCATGAGCAAAAAGCTGTGGAATCATTCATCGTACTGTACAGATCTATGGAGTTGCGGAAAGGACTAACCGTACAATCCGAGAGAAAGCCGCACCAATGGTCCAGGAGCTATTTATCTCTGGGCAGGTCTCCAAAATCATTGCGGAGAAGAGCACAGAACTCTTGTATGCTAAAAATAGAAGATAAAGATAATATAAAGTTAAGGATTCCTACTCTTAAATTCCTATATTAGACCGATATCCTAATTAGAAAACTAACTAAGTTAAGAACTAAACCCGTTGACATTCACAGTTAATTGCGCTATAACGATGAAAAGTCAACTCCGAGATTGCATGGAATTACTTTAAAGGAATACATCGTGACATTTTACTCGATGCAGCATGAACTGTGGACGGGTGCAAAGACCTTCTGGATAGGGTGGAATAAAGTGGTTGTTCGGTTTCTTGGTTTCTTTTACTCTAACCCCTCGTAAATAATATTCTTGCCTATGTCGGTGATGAAAATCTCCGGTGCAGCAGGACCGACGCGGTGGGTAAACCTTAGAGCAAAACCGAACTAGCAACCCGCCACGATGCTTCTGGCCACCCTACTGCTCGTCCCTGGGTATATCGCTCCGCTCGAGACAATCCCGATCAATGTCTCAGATGAATGTCTCGTATGAGGCCACAATGATCTGCAGACCAGTGGCTGCGGGGATACCCGAGCCTTCAGCTTCAAGGCTCCCTCTGAAGTGAACCTGGATGAACAAGAGCTGAACAGTACAATCAGTGAGATACTGGCCAACGAAAACTTTACCACCATCAATATCTATGCACAGCAGCATATCAATGCGAACCTACATGCTCTTCTCTCCGAAATCACACTTGGTCCCAAGGAGGTCATCTATGTACCAACGTTGTTTCCGCAATACGAGCAATAATTTTCATTTCAATCACAGCGATGATGGTCTCCCGCCGCATACACCTACTTTCATGGGAGGAGAGCGGCTTCTCATGGCGTTTTATCCCGCTTCTATCAACGACATTGTCATTGAAAATTTAGAAATTTAGACATGTAAGCCCAAAGTCGTGGGCGCCAGCAGTGAACGAACGGTTGTACTCGCTGAACCGGTCGAAGTGGCGTATGCAAGGGCGGGGATGACTGCGTGGTTCATCGATGACTTTCTGAATATCACGTTATGGGTGGGGATGTTCATTGTGGGTCTAATACTTTTAGGTGGACGGATATTGTCTGGTGGGAGTAAGGGTAATTTGCAGCTAGCATGGCTCTTAAATCTAGCCTATTACCACCCGACAGCTAACGTAGACTATAAATTTTTCCGATGGACCATCCTTCTCCTTATCTACTTCCTCGGTCAACCTCACAAAAGTCCTATTGCGTTACAAACTAGACCTCACGACCGTTCACGTCCTTTAAACTCTCGCATGTATTGAAATGACCACGGGTAATCAGTATTCAGACCTTTGAAAAAGAGCCAGAGTGAGCGTTTGCACAAAAGTCGACGTCACTGAAACGGGAAGTTCGCTGGTGCCAAAAGACAAGAAGCATAACTAACATTTGTGAGCAACGGCCAACTACGCCTTGCAATGGCTCACTCCTCCCTCAACCAACAATTTGCAATATTGAAAATGCAGCCACACGACCGGTTGCGGAAACAGGTCTTTAGATGTTCGCTGGACTCCATTGTAGAAGATATTCTTCAGCCTAAACTCGGCCACGCCTTGGTCGATATCGATTTCGGTGGTAACTTCCGCGATGTTCTCCATGTCCCGCGGGACTCCTGGATTGTCCGATGGCGCATTTGCTCCCCATAGAACGATTGAATTAGCGTTCTTCCCAACGACGACGAAGTGGTCGGTCACATTAGTCCCTAGAAAAGGCCATTAGTGGAACTGATTTGCAGCGCCAATTTTTAACAAGTGTTCAACCAGGCGGGCATTATACCTTCTTCATAAGTACTGTTCAGTAGCTCATTTTTATCCCACAGTATCGAATCATTTCTGGAGTTACCTCTTCCCAGTCCAGCTAATACATTTCGTTGGATGGCGTATCCTGTAGGTGGAATAGAATAATTTAATCAGTAAATCTGTCTTGATAGCGGCGTCGGTTACGCGGCTGTCTCAACCCGTGAACATCCTAAAAGGTAATATCACTCACCGTAGCCACCCCAAATACCAGCACAGAACCTTTCGACAAGCTTCGAACCTCCCTTGAGCGTATCATCGACTAATTCCGGTGGAATTTGGGCCAGTGGCACCTTTCGCACGCATGAGTCTTTCAGTGACGGATGATTTCCCGGGTTAAGCCGCTTGTAGTGATCGCTTTGGAAAATAGGGTCATTTTCGGGTCCGAATGGCTCAAAGTAGCACTGCCTTGTCCATAGATGCCACCCGCCTGCGCCGGCTAAAGCCACTGAGGCCGTAACTTTGCTGAAGGTTGCTATCTTAGACCTCGAAAACCCGAAAAAGGCCATAGGTCGAGAGAATTCTATGCCACGCAGTGACAAGATAATGAAGGGGACAAGTACGAGCAGGTTCTTATTTTTTTATATCCCGCATGCGAATATTGTATTCATGTCACACTATTGGTCGCAAAGCTCGTCAGCCGATTACTCAGCGGCGTTCGAAATGTCTGCGCCAGCGGTCCGTCCGTCCGGAAAAGTCGTTAATCAAACACGGCCAGCGGCCAGCTGCTCGGATGTTGAATAAGTCGGAAGCAACACCCTTCTAATTATATGTTGTGGGTCTATGTGAAGGGCTGTAGCGGAGCCGATGTTATTGCTTACAGCAAGAGTCACGATAATCTCAAGGAAAATGGAAGACTAAGTTGTTCTCCAATTTACGGCATGGTGGAAACATGAAGTGTCCATTCTGCCAAGAGGTACCTATCCTTCGTCGTCCGCGGAAGATGATACCAGGCCATGGTACTTGGTTCAACTGCCGGGCTATGACCGGACTATGAAAATCATAGTATATCATCTATTATATCACAATGGAGTTGATCCATCTGACAACGCATCACTTGCTGCTTTGCTATACCGAAGAGGTTGGAAGGGAGCCATTCAACGACAGGTGATTTTGAAACCAACTTAGTCTCGAGTGGTTGACAGAAAAGGTCGGCTGGTCTCAATTCTCATAGCTTGGCTCGAAGAGACCAGAGCCGGGGTTTAGGACATAATCAAAAGGTATCGGCAGGCAAATACTCAATAATGATGCAATTATTGCAGTCCAGATGAGCAAGCACAAATCCATCTTCAAGGTTACACGCATATTTGAGAGCCGGGATGCTCGTTGCAACGTAAGCTCTTCGGAAGGAAGTATAATTACGCTTCAAGAGGTTGCTTATCATCCAATTCGTGCTGAGGAGCGTGATGCGTTGGTAATGAGAAGATTCAATAGCTGGACGAACATAGGCAGCACATATTTAATTTGGGACTTTCTAGATCATAAACATGAATGACAAACATAAGCGACACATATTTGATCTAGGCTTTTTAGATCATAAACCCACGTCACGTGAGCTTTTTTCGCGATTTTGAGATGACTCGGGCACAAATTTCCGCAAGTTCTGTCATGACACCGTCCAGATATTGCAATTGAAGCCAGTCGCCAAGAGTTAGTTTTCGTACTGGGATGCAGCGTATCAGAAGAGGAACGCTTTCCAATAGTTTCATGTCATTAGTGGCGTCTGGATCATGGGGATTGGAAAGTATGTTGCAGAAAAGAGTCAGGACGGCGGTGATAACGTAAAATAGGGCCACCCTGGTTCGCCAGACGACTGTCAGTATAAAAAGGTACTGAATATTGAGCATCGGCACCCATACCAAAAGCATTCGGGGTGCACAACATATAACGCTTTATGAAAAAAAGACAGTGTTGAACGGCTCGCAGTAGTGGAAATTCTTGTACTGGAAGTGATGTCGTCGAGCCTTGGCTCGGGAATACAAGTTGAGAAATCTTGAGATTTGCTGCTGGCTTGGTGGATTACGGCCACGCAATGATAGTACGCAAGCCTCAACATCACTGCTGACGTGTTCAGGTTGGCGGCCACAGGTGTCTCCTGGGAAAAGTATAAGGTCGGACGAAGCTCCTCTGGAAGAGATCGCCTCCATTGCTCTAGTGATTCGTCAAGGCTGCGTATGCTCAATAATAGCTCTGTTTTGGCCTGCCGAAGAGAATGAGCGCTGTACAATCTATCGTACACTTTCGATTTCAGCAACGAAAGTCGGAGGTCCCAGGGGAAAAGTGGAACGATCTCATCATCTACCTGTGACACATTTTCATGTAAGTTGATGTTATGCAGCCTCACATAGTCACAGGGCAGAGTGAGATCGCAATGTATGTCAAGTATACAGGGCGGTTCTCCAGTTCTGAGGCATATATCTTTATCGAAGGAGTAACACAGCCAGAAGAGGTCCCGCAGGTGGCATCTTAAGTTGCCTTTGTTGTATGTGGATGAGGAAGTGGTCGAAGGATCATCGGCATACAATGCATGGGCCCCATGTGTATACAAAAGACGTGTGGCGATCGATAATGTCGCGGCTGCGGAAAGGAGATCGCCTATGAAGTATTGGTGATGTACCTGGCAGAACGATTAAGATCCCAGATGAAGTCATCTGAAGGCAGGATCAGTAACTCACCAGCATAATCAATGACTGGAGGCCATCTACCGTTGACTCCTGAATTACTTCTGTCGTGAAGTTATGGACCATCGCGGCATAGGCCTGGCAATCCATGCTTCCCTGCGTATTGTTGTCGAAGCCGAACAATGATATGTGTGACAGAAACGCATACACGCATGCTTTGGCACTAGCGGAACCTGCGACTTGCAGGGGACGATAGGCGAGGTCCAGTGTTTGCCTGAACATTGACCGGCTGATTACGGGGAAAACGCGACTTGGGAAGGACGAGCCATAGACCTCGATATACCTTTCCACATTCGCCCTACCCGGAAGTTCAGGGCGCCCACGAAAAGAGCTCTCGGGATTCGTATGCGGACAAGGCGGCTTTAGCCCGTGGAGTTCGAGAGAAAATACTCTGTCAAGATTGATTGGTTCTCCAACCTGAGACTCTATCCATCTTCGGCCTTGGTCTGAGAAAATACGGTACCCCCCGAGGCAGGTGATATTGTTCAAGAATGTATATCCTGGTCTCAGATACCGTATCGTGTCAGAATCTGGGAGAAATGGTTCGCCAAGTGAAAAAGATGCACTTCGACTTGTGTCAAGTCTGATACCTCAGGAATGTCTGATTGTTAGCGACATCATATAGTTACCTGCAACAAGGTCTAGTCAAGAACAAACGAGCCGATTTATTCCTGACATTAGGCAGCAGATGGAGCCGAAGACGATGACATAGGACGAGGAAACACAAATAACGTAAAGTAATGAGAAGCTAGAAGACGTATATCGTCGGGTTATGGCCATACCTCGTGTTCGTCTGTCCTCGGATTCGATTGTAGGTGCAAGCGAGATTATGATGCTCGCACCAATTGCACTGAGGGAGAACTGCATCACATTGGATCTACCGAGCCCGAAAGTAGATGTCAACGATGAGTCTATTGTGACTAATAGCGTAGGGGTATACGTGATGCAGAGGGATAAGGGTATACCTTTTTCGTAAAGCAAGAATCGCATGCCCTGCGTCTCGGTTTCCGGTTTCCCTTCCGTGACCGTGGTGGACAGGTGTATTGTTGGCGGTTTTCGTTCATATCTAGTGACAGATAAGGGGAACCGCCAGCATCGGAATGGTAAGCAAGCAACCAAGCGCCGACACACTCATTTACAGAGATTCAGTGAGGTTGCAGAGTTGTGGTTCGAAAATTTCAGCTGTGAAACCGTCATTCACCGGGACTGGCCGTTTTGATTTGATCCCGCTGACTAATCGGGGACTACTCTGTGGTTCGGGCTCTTATGCCCTGTGGGTCGCAAGCGTTCCTCGGTCAGAACGGGACCTCTTAGATCTTCCACCGCAATTGGACATGCTCCACCGAGCGACCCGTTCCCAGTGATCTGTGATCTGGAGGGAATGGATGTCATGGCCACTACAGAGGCTTCCTCTGCCTTCGTCAAGTTTGTTCTGTTCTATGCTCCTTTCCTTGCTTGGCTGGCTCCTCGCGCATAAACCAGATGACCATCTTCCTATCCTTCGAGGCGGGTCATCTCAGGAGTCTTCCTCTTCAAAATCCCAAGGCTAATATCTCGCTTTGTACACTACTACCTGACTCTGTGCTAACCGGAATTAGTTAATTATGTAGTTACTACCTAACGGGTCATTCGGCGCCCTATCCGCTGAATCATCGGGAAACACCGATGCGCGTTAATCAACCTATTTAGCTAGTTAGTTACAGCAACCCAGAGGGCCTTGACCAATCAACTGATAGGCGTACCCGGGCCGAACTGGGACCGCTTGACCGGGACCCCTCCACTGGGACCACGATTAAATGAAACCTTCTGACCGTTTGAAACCTCGACATCAGACGTGAATGTGTTCCGCCGCCCGTGTCAGTCACTACATTTCAAGCCTTTATCAACATGGCCGAACATCCTTCCTTTACTCTTGCCGCTCTCCGTAAGTCCTCAATTCGATGCCTAAAACGGAAGTCCCGCGTCGCTGAGCATCAGTAACCAAAAAATAGTTCCTGCTGGGGGGTCCTTGGGGTATCTAAAGACACGCTCAGCACCGTCATTGATCGCGGGTGTGGGACTTGGACTTTCTTATGGATATGCTGGTGAGTGCCTATGAGCAGCGTGCTAACTGGGGGCACTTTTTCTTGCGCTAAGCTGACCGAATTGTTAGGTTATCTGATGAAAGAGAACAGAGACTACGGAACCGAGTTGGCCCTGTTAAACAGTGTGTTCCTGCTGACTTCTGCAATCCCTAGAATCATCAAGACGCAGGCCAAATCCCCCGTGCCCGTAATTCTTGGAGCCACCGGATTCTTGGCAACTTTCTACTACCAGAAAAAAGTCCGCGAGTTCCGATTCGGAGTTTGATGATCAAAAGCGAAATAATTCTGCCCAGTCTGATGGTTCTATATGGGAGGAAATGTCCAGCACTATTCAAAATCATGCTGGAGGACAGAGTAATCAGGGGAAGAGCTCAGGAGAAGCTGGGCAAGCTTGTATTTACTTATGAAGAGGTTCTATCTCAATTCAAGAATTTCCTGAAGTGTCTTCGGATTAACATATACCCTATTTGGCTACGCTGTAAGGGATGTCCAATTTGTTCGCTCATTAGCACCTATTTCCTAGAACCTCGACGCTTTCCACTCTCCCAAGTGTGCCAAAAATGGATGCTGAATGATGCTATAAAGTTGAGGTCTTCCGTCCAAAAATAACATATCAGACCCTCTACCATGATCAGAAATCCAATCAAGTTACAAAACACACACAGGTAATACACTGAGTTCTTCTCTAGGCCATTCGGGAAGCGTTATCAAAACCATATCCAGGATTTCAATCATTATGGCTGAATCTATAAGGAGAACTTCTTTAATGAGGATGCCGCGATAGCAGGATATGACAGCATTATTACTCTTTTAAGACGACTAGAAACAGTCGGTTTCAATATAAAGACCCGTCAGATGGTATAAAAACATTAGTTGTGATAATTTTTGATAGGTACGCACCTGAACCGCCGCTCTCAAGACTGAGTAGAATGTCTGGCGTCTCCTCCACTGTGGGATACCCAGCGGTAACATATGCGCCCAGAGCAGCGCGGTTCTGGTACTTCGCCCTCGCGAATGACTGCTTGATATGCTCCATGACTGGCACGCCGTAGATTAATCAATGCAAGATACCGTGGGGGTAAAGTTAGCAGTTGAAGAGACTTTTTGATAAGGATAATCGACAGACATGAATAAATTTACCTGAGACCATTATATACCCCTAACCCATTTTTTGAGCTTTTGTCCTGCACATCATTAATGACTCATCGCTACAGATTCACTTCTTCTTGCTTCGGCCCGAAAGTGGCAACTATGGATTGTAGTCTTGGCGATCCCAGTGTGACTAGGTAAATGACTGACTAGTTAACGGTTAACCGGCCCCTTACAAATATTACATATTTTACGGACCCTCGCTCCGCGAGGGTCTGCCACCCATACGATAATGCCCCCCCCATACGATAATCCCATTTCCCATAGTAAACTGCCCCATTTTAATGCGATTTAATCAACAAAAGCAGTGCAATTTAGTAGACAATTAATATACCGAAATAAAGCCCCCTGATTGGCCCAATCAGAAATCCAGCCCGTTTCTTTCCATCTCATTTTTTGATGAAGTAATCATTCGCTTTGCAGACCCTCTTTTTTCTTTTCTATCGACGTGTTCCACTAGTAAACACCCCCATTCTTCCATTCCACACGCGATTTATCGCCACCAATATGCCCGAATCGAATCAATCTATCGAATCTCGCATCCAATCGGCTATACTCGAATTGGAGAATGTCGAATCGCCTAATATTAGTGCGTGGGCGCGAGCGCGAAACCTACCATATCAGCGGCTACTGGCGCGCTACAAGGGCCGCTGTTCATTCTCTGAACGCACACCTAACGGTCGCAAGCTTGACGAATCGCAGGAATCAGCTCTCTGCCGATATATCGACTTCCTCGATTCGATCTATCTTCCACCAAAGCGCCCGGCTATTACTGCTGCTGCCAATGCAATCCTAGCTAGTAGCCATGTTGACAATTCGACCAAACCCCCTACAATCGGTAGCCATTGGCTGCAGCGCTTCCTCCGCCGTCACCCTGAATACAATTGTCGCCGTCAGAGAGCTATGGATATCGATCGAAAGAAGTGCCTTAATAAGCAGATTGCAAGGGAATGGTTCGATTCATACAAGGAGACAATCGCAAAGTATAGTATCACCGCGGATGATATCTGGAACTTCGATGAAACTGGCTTCAATATTGGCGTTGGAAGAGATCAGTGGATTATCACACACGAGCCTAAGCGCCAGATTACTGGCGGCTTTAATACTAATCGCGAATATGCGACTGCTATTGAGGCCGTTTCAGCTACTGGATCTACTATCGCTCCAGTAGTAATCCTAAGCGCGAAGCTTCTACTACTACGCTGGTTTGAAATCGTAGGCGATGAGAGGATTGCTGTCACCGAAACCGGCTACCTTAATAACGTCTTAGCCCTACAGTGGATACAGCTATTCAATAAGCTTACGAAGGATTCGGTAAAGGGCACGCATCGTATGCTACTATATAATCAATTCGGATCGCATTTAACATACGAATTCGTTAAATACTGCGAGGATCACAACATTATTCTATTCTTCCTTCCTCCTCATTCAAGCCATCTACTTCAGCCGCTAGATATAGGTGTATTCAGCGCCTATAAGCACTGGCATAGCGAGTGGGTGTATGATGCTACAGTTGCTGGCTATAAGAAGATTACCAAAGACGATTTCCTAAGTGCAATCGCGCAGATTCGACAGAAGACCTTCAAACCCTCTACGATTAAGCTTGGATTTCGATTGACTGGCCTCTGGCCTACCAACCCTGCTATCGTATATAATACTCTAGAGGATTTAGAGCGCGATTTTGGCTACGATACACTAAGCCCTCCATCATCCGTAGCGACTAGTGATTCATCTGATTGTAGCACACCAAAGACTGCTCAGCGAGTGAAGAAGCTAGAAGAGCGGATAGAGGAAAAGATCAATCGCATACAACAACCCTCTCGTCGCCTAATTCAAAAGCTTTCGAAAGCTACTACTGATCTCGCGCATCTTGTGGTGGAACTGAAGCAGGATATCGAGCGTGGGGATTATGTGAGAGAGCAGCGCCATACACACGAAAATCGCTCGCGAAGGGCATCCAAATTGACTGGGATAGTGCATTCTAGTCAGGTTGAGCGTATGAAGCGTATTCTCAAAAGTGGTGATAACCTAAAGGCTCTCATGAAGCTGCGACCGTACTACCGGCGTGAGGTCTTACCGGAGCTGAAGAGGGTATACAAAGCGAAGGGCTACTTCATCAAAAAATGAGATGGAAAGAAACGGGCTGGATTTCTGATTAGGCCAATCAGGGGGCTTTATTTCGGTATATTAATTGTCTACTAAATTGCACTGCTTTCGTTGATTAAATCGCATCAAAATGGGGCAGTTTACTATGGGAAATGGGATTATCGTATGGGGGGGCATTATCGTATGGGTGGCAGACCCTCGCGGAGCGAGGGTCCGTAAAATATGTAATATTTGTAAGGGGCCGGTTAACTAACTAACCTAACTAACTTGACTAACATGGTGACATGATCCGCTGACAAAGCGGACCGGGCAATCCGCGGTTACAGAACAATTACAGTATATATACACCCGATATGCCGATAGCTCATCCATTAACTTTAGAATTCTACTACCTTACAGCTTTCAACATGGCTTCCTTCAAGTACCACGCGCTTCCTGGCTTTGGAGAAGAATGTCGCGAGAAATACGGGTTTAGCGATGCTTGCCTCATCGGCAAACGGCTAGTTGTCACTGGGCAGAGTAAGCAGCTCACCCGCGCCACATCTGAGGACCTAGGGCTAATCATATTCCTAAGCGGGCATGAATCCTTTGACCAAGGAAACCTCTCCTAAGATTGAGGAGCAAATCGCGCAAGCCTTCAAAAACATTGATGATCTGATCATCCACACTCTCACTAAAGACGGTTATGCGGTTAAGGAGGGTATTTCTGGCTGGGATTACGTGGTCAAGCTGCGTGCATTCTTTGTGGGATTGTCCGAAACGCGTGCAGTGGCACGGGAAAACATGGTTCACTACATCAAGAAGTGGTGTCCCCGCCACCAGCCGTTATTCACCATGGTGGGAATTGAAAGCCTGCCTTTTCCTGAGCATCTCGTGGAGTTTGAAGTTGATGTATGGATTCCTTGAAATGGCGCATGATATTGTACAACTAGATTTGTTCCCAACCATGTTCTAAAGATAGTGCAACGTAGACAGAAACCTCTTGTATTAAATAAGTATAGCATTCACGTCGTACTTAAATCTAGTCTTATCATGTACTTTGTGATCACCTAAGTATGTTGACAGGTATTTATATTGTGATACGCTGATGATATATCCGATAATTAGAAATGAAAGTCACATAGATTCTCCGCCTTACTGCTTAATCCGCCAGTCAATCTTTTGAAGGGTGGGGTACTGGGAAGAAATTCTCTTCCAAGGTATGAGATATGAGGAAAGAAGTCTACACCGTATGATATGTCGCATGAAAACAATAAGAGAGAGAGAGAGAGAGAGACAGAGAGAGAGATTGTGGGTGTGTTCGATTAACGGCCACGGCTTGTGGCTCGTGAATTGGGGCAAAGGCCGCCAAGGGGGTGAACCTAGGGTGTCTCTAACTATTGCTAGTTCTGTGTACAATTAAGAGTGATCGGCGCATTTTCATCTCTGCCTCTATCAGTCATGGCAACGATCTAAAAATCTGCAATGGCAGGTTAGATAGCAATTTCAGCTGCATAGATCCATCCGCGCACGATGATCCGCTACTTCCGCCGCTCCGCTTCCTTTCAATCTAGTTCGTATGAAGGGAGTGGATTTATTGGGATTGCGTCGCAATGCTTGTAGCCCCAGATGATACCTACACCGACATTACTGAGGGCCTCTTCCTCCTAAAACTGCCTTATGAGAATCAGTTGCTTGCGTCTGCGCGTAGCTCGTCATCCCTCACGCAGCCAAGTCTTGATGCTATCCCTCCTGCCTTCCCTCTATGTATAGAATCCACTACAACATGGGCACACTGCCTCCCTTCAGAGGAGCGGAGACGGGCCCTATCTGACACTACACTCTACGACTGTGAAGACAGGTGACCCGCTATGGCTAAAGTACATTATTCTTGCTCCTCGTGACTGCATGAGGTAAAAAATAACGTCTAGCTATGTAGGGATCTAATATTTTTAACCCCTCCTTTACCAACAGACCTTCTCCCCTTTATAATTAACAAATTGACCAGACGTGGTGGACTTCGTTGCTACCTCAATCTGCAATAACGTCAGTAATTTGCAGCAAGTGATGCCAGCCAAATTCCTGCATACCTGATAGGTGATCCCCTGAACGGTTTCCTTGAGGGTAACCGGGGCCTTCTCCAGCCCATTGGCTTGCGCCGCACGACTGCCCATGTCCGTTTGTACCATTCTATCCATTGAGAACCGAGAATTTCATCGTTAGAATTTTTGTCTCCCGAAAAACGAGAATACAAAACATACCCCGGATCAATTAACAAAGCGATAAACTCCTTGTTCTCCGCATCTATCTTTTTTACCAGATAGTTTCCAGCCACTTTCGACATCCCATAAGCCGCGGTCAACGAGGGAATCTGTTCGATCATATGAATGCTCGCCAGGGCCGTAGAGATATAAGCAAACTTGGGAACGCTGGCTTTCCGTAGCAGCGGTGAAATGGCTCGGAACAGTCTAAGCGGTCCCAATGTATTCACTTCAAAGTGAGACAGCACGTCGGAGTCGGTCATTTCTTCTACCGGTCCGTAGTGATCGCAAATACCGGCATTAGCAACGGCAATATCAATATGCCCAATGAGATGCTGCATCTGGATTTCCAATATAGCTTCTGTCGCATCCATAGGGTTGTTCGCACTCAGCGACACGACGATCAGGCGGGAGCCTTCGCCTTTCGGTAGTTCGTCGAGCTCCGTCGCATTCAAACTGGAAGCATCCCGAACAGCACCCAAGACAGTCGTGTCGGGCTGAGCAAGATAATGTGCCACGAGACCTCTTCCGATGCCTACAAGTTGAGTCGGCGACAGGACGCACCAAACTGGGCGGAGAGTTTCTGCTTACCTCGATTAGCGCCGGTGACAAGAATAACAAGGCCCATCGTGGAATATTTCAGATATGTAGATTCACAAATTTGTCGATTCTCGGGCTCGGATGGGTAGTCATGAGTGTAGTCAACTCTTGCTGTTCGAAATGTCCGAATTCATACAGGGGAAGCCCCACACTACGTCCTCTCGGATTCCGCAAATACCGATTGGGACCGAAAATAATTAGAACAGAGGTGGAGCTGAAACAAACCAATCTCGGACCGGAAAGCCGAACACGATAGCAGAACACGATAGCAGAACACGATAGCAGTATAATCCGCCACCAAAGCTTCACCAATCATCAACGCAGCTTGAAGCTAATCACCGTCGGTGTCGGCAGGAGATGAACTGCCGAGATACACCGAGCTTTTCAGTTTGGTGATCGACAGAGATCTATTGCCGTCCCTGGTTAGAGTCGGCGGGCTGTATCCGATGGGACCCTGGACCTATTGATTCCAAGACCCACTTGGATTCAGGTGAAGGGTCCGATTTCTTCTCAGACGATGCAACGATTCGGAGTACAACCGTGACGGATACTAAAGTCATGCTCTGAGCCTTCCCAAGATATCAATGATCATGATCGGTGTATCCAGAACTCCAGGTTGTCGGATGGGACAGCATTGGGATAGCATCATGTTTATGTGGATCATTTGCACAGCTACCGCTGACTCAGCGGTAGAAATAGAATCTAGCTTCCCTTGGGTTCCTGTATACTGCCCTATATAAACCTCCAGCGTCGCGTATCCTCTAGTTGAAGCAATCCCCTCACAGCACCCCACTCCAAAGCTACTTCAAAGCTACTTCAAAGTGCAAAGACAATGACGGTTACCAAGCGAAATGTCGTGGTTATTGGCGCAACTGGCTCTCAGGTATACCTTCCCACATCCGCCTACCATTGGGCGATGCAGGTCGCTCAACTTTTATTCTATAGGGCGGATCTGTGGTTGCGGAACTCTTGAAGCACCCTCATCTATATCATGTCCGGGCCATCACCCGTGATCCTTCCAAGCCTAAGGCTCAGCAGCTCTCTGCTCAGGGAGTTGAACTCTGTCGTGCAGACCTGGAAGGTGACAGAGAAGCTCTGACTGCGGCCTTTGCTGGTGCGGATGTGATCTATGCCCTGACTGACTTCTGGCAGAAGCAGTCTGCTGCTGCAGAAATTGAGCAGGGTAAGGCGATTGTGGATGCTGCTGCTGGCATAGCGGCATTGCAGCACTTTATCTGGAGCGCTTTGCCAGACCCCATCGCCTTATCCGACGGCAAATATCTGAATGTGCATCACTGGAAGGGCAAGAGCTTGATTACTGAGTATATCAAGAACCAGAAACCGGACCTATGGGAAAAGACGACAACCATTCTCTTCCCAAATTACTTTGAGAACACTTTGACCGATCCCCAGCGGTACCTGCCCGTCAAAGTGAGTTACCATGCCGATTAATTCCAAGTTGAATATTCACCAAAATCATGATATAGGACGCCAAAGGCACATACACTCTCAAGTTCCCGCACAGCCCTCAGACGGTTCTGCCTAATGTGGCGATTCGTGATACGGGCAAGCTGGTGCATCTGGTCCTTCAAGCTGGTTCTACCTACTTCACTAAGACCATCGCCTTCTGGGCTCAGGCGTTATCCGAGGCCGAAAAGCTCGCTGAGATGGGCTCCTGTATGACACCCTATTAGAGTATTGATTCATCGTGTTAATTTTTGTATTAGACTATAACGTTCCCATTCGCTATCAAGCCTCCAGCGCCAACGAATTCCAGCAGCTGCTCATGACTCGCGACGGCATGTCGGAGGAAATTGCATTGGACTTCACTGAGCAGTTGCTGATTTTCGAAAGCTGCGGAAATGTCTACGCACGCGAGGAGTTCGTGCAAGCCAAGGATGTAGGTCAACCCATAATTTCTCCCTGACTAGCATTACTTCTGCTGACCGTATTAGATCCCCGGACTGAAACTTCAGAACTGGTCCGAATTCATTCGCCAGCACAAGCTGCTCTAAGGATGGCTGGGAGGAGGTGGAAGTGTATATAAGCCGGTTGCTTAGATTTTTAATGAGGATCAGGCTAGTCTTCTAAATTTACAACAAAATTAGAACGCTAGGAGCCTGAATGAAGACACTGAAAGAGCGCCCAGCGCGAAATCTGACTTTCGGTTTGGCTGAACTATTTGCGAGCTGTAAACGAAGCGATATCCCGGGAATATAGTCTAATCCCATAATAGCCAAAAATGAGTCGCTGAGGCCGCATGTGAAATTGAAATAATTTGCTGTTATTGATCCAGTGAACCGACTTTGCACCCGTGTGTGCAATATCGCCAGTTTTGATCGAGGCTGGTGCGCCAAGCGCTCTGGTATGGGTGAGAAAAGATCTAACTTAACCAGCGATTTCAGTGACCATATAGGGCCTGCATAAGCGGCAGATAACTACATATACGTACGTAATTAGGCGAGAATCATGCTCGTGCAAATACGGTACAGTACGTGGTCGAATATCGAATGGAGAGGATATGCGGGCCTCGCTTTCGATCTACACGCTACCACCTTATTTTATTTACTCTCTCCTCTGTTTCTATCGTCTGTCTTCTTCGTTTAAGGGCAAGCGATCCTTAGAGGGAACAATTACCATTATATATCCTAGCATAAGGTTATTCAAACTGTTCGTACCTTAGGCTATCAGGACTTGGCAAGCCGGCAGGCTTCCAGCGGAGGTTGGCTAATCTCTTGTTCTCGGCACTTGTACGAATACCTGCAAGGAAAGCCCTAACTAGTAGCTACACAAGCCTCGTGTTTGACCCGCTTCTCATCTCTCTCCAAGGATGTATTTCTTTCCTGTTCGGAACGAAGAGACTGTACGTAAATTGATTTATGAGGAGAGCGTTTTACGCCCCCCAAAAACAGTCTTCGAGCTTCCTGAACAAATACATTTATTCCTCTCTCCTACCTGATTGTCAGGCCGTTAACCTGAGTCGTAGAGTATACTCTTACAGGAATACGGGGTAGCGAAATGCGGGCGAACCACAAGGAACATAGAACCTAGGATAAGAGGGACAGTACGCAATCCATTATGCAGTACTAGAGTACCTTTCCTAACTATAGCCACATATGCTTGCGAAGCTAAGGAGAGAGTGTGTATTTGTTGCACCGGTTTCGCGACGTACCGTAATGGAGCACGCTCTGCCGTCTACTATCTTGCAGAGCCAACCAAAACTTGGTGAGTAGGAATCTCCAGCCCCGGACTACCCGGTATAATTCGGGCCAAGGCTAACCCCAAAGGCAGAGTTAGACCTGAGGAAATTAGTCTCATCTTCGAAGTACTGCACCCTTCAGTCAGCCTGTGGAGTGGTGGGGCGTGACGAGCACGCCCAAGGGGGGATTGTCCACTACCTCGATCGTGACCAAAAGAATCACTAGATCCAGACGAAATGACTCGTCGGTGCGCACGGGAAAAGGGGCATCGTTCGCAAGCATTTCCTCGAGGCATCTGCAGGTATCCGACAGGGAGTTGGGATCTCCGAGTACAAAGGGACCAGGATAGCTGCGAATCTCAAAATCACACTCCCCACACCGGAGAGCCACCCCGGCTTTGCAGTTTGGGATGCAGGGCACAACCCAGAGTCCGTATACGACCTCTTCTTGCCTCAGAACTGGCACTTTTGCCGACCACCGGGGAGGTCCGTCGCCTGTGTTCGATATGGTTCGTTCACCAACCGACTCTGGCGCCATGAGTTTGCCGTTCCCGAATGGGACGACTCGATGGATGCTCCTACCGCACCAAGAATATCCAGCTGTGTTCTGACTCACAGCCAGTCTAAGTGACTTCCTCCGAGGCTGCATCGAGGTTCTCCGCTGCCGAACGTTCCAGTTTAGCCACCGCGTAGTCAACAAATGGTTTGCCAAGCGCACCATTCTGATTGGGGATGCGGCACATGTCTTCCCTCCATTTGGTGGACAGGGCGTTGCCTGTGGCGTCTAGGATGCGGTCGGGCTAGCTTGGAGATTAGCAGTCTTCACCCAGGTGGAATCCTTGTCATCAGTGGCTACCCGAACGGAAGCCCTTTTGCAGGCCTGGGCGGATGAACGAGGGATGGTTATCTTAGTTTATTACTTTATGTTCAACTTGTAGATTGAAGGAGGCCCTTCTGGGCCGGCTTTCATCAGTCAGACGCGGGAAGTTCCACCAACATCCTGAGATGGTCGAAACCCACAGACGCTCACCACCCCATGAACAACAATATCTGGGAACGCTGAACTTCTCTCACTCATGGATTGTTGACGACTATTGTTGTATTTGCCAGGCTAATCAATCACCGTCGTGTTGAACAATTATCGTTGGTTCATGTAGGGCTGTCGACAATGGTATCGATGTATCCAGCCTGCCCCAATACTCTGCAGTTTTGACCGTTGAATAACAAGGAACTACTTGGACACTGCCATTTGAACATAAGTGCTGGCATCTAGTATTCAGACTAAAGCTCGAGCGAATAAACCGCAGGATTTAGAATTAACCTCAAATAGCGAGCGTCTTCTTGACACTTGAACACCAAAAGGAAAAATGATAATTACTAGCAGAGCAAAAAGCAATCGGCCTAATGCATAAGTTGATGGGACGCTCAGTCTGATGAAAGTAAACGTGGATGGTCAACGGCAAACCAATCTCAGGTACCTTCATCTGGGCAAATCTCACCGTTTGACTTTTTTCACTAACCTTTTGGTACGTTGCAAGATTAAGGGAGTGGTTTTATTGGTGCTGCCTCACAATGCCTGTAGCCTCATGTGATATCTACACCGACATTACGGAGGGCCTCTTCCTCCTACAACTGCCTCGAGGGTCAGTTGCTGGCCTCTGCCGGTAGCTCGTCATCTCTCACGCAGTCAAGTCTTGATTTTGTCCCTCCCGCCTTCCCTCTGTACATATAATCCACTACAATACAGGCACATTGCCTCCCTCAGGGGGAGCGCGGACGGGCCCTATCTGACGCTACGGTCTATGACCGCAGCGACAGGTGACCCGTTATGGCCAAACTATACTCTTCTCACTCCTCTTGACAGCGTGAGGTCACCAATAAATAGTACTTGAAACATGACCCCGAAGGCATTGCTGGTCCAAATTTTCCACTCATCGACCTTGAATCCATTTCATCCTTTCTGTTAAGACCTGAGCATTGGCGCTGGAGAATCGGACGAACGAGACATTCATTTAATCAAATCATGCATCCTTACTCCACGGAATACGCAATGCGCTTACGTCTGCTGTTTCTCCTTTTAACCATCACCTGACTATTCATAGCTAGCTTCAACTCAGCAACAGCATACTTTGCGATAGCTCTTCGAGATTGTGCGAGATCCGACTATACAAGATCCAAGCACCCCATACTACCCATCTCATTCGAAAGTACGATAACCAACGTCCTCGATTTGATGATAATCGTAGCTATCCCGTCAGTCTTGTTATCGGTCTTGGGAATTGTTTTCATGGCCCACCCACGACTTTCAAATAAGGGAAGCGCATTCATAATTTATTTTAGCGGTATCCAACTCATCCTGAGCTTAGCCATTCTCTCCGTAGGCGGCTATATTGCGAATTCCATTCATAGCTACCAGACATTATTTGAAGAGTTCGAACATTACGCAAGCCACTTCCCATACTACAGCATGATGTACTACGGGGGTGTTGGCCAGGCTGTCTATGGTACTTTGGTGATTTTTCTGACTCTAGTATACGTTATTCTATAACGTATACTATAACGAAAGTCTGTTTGTCTTTCGACAATGTTCTTGTGGGACCGAGATTCCAGTACAGCAGAAATTCCACGGTTCGGGATCTACAAATAGGAGTTGTATGGCAGAAGAGGGAATCAGGAAGTTCTTGGCGCTCTATGTTTCGAGAATTGAGTCTATAATGATCTGGATAGCAAAGTTTGGCCTTCTTTACATGTCCCTGGGGTCAAATTGGTCTGTTCTTCGCAAGGATACATCGTGTTTTTTGAACCGGCATCAAGCTCCTGGGATCGACCTCAGGAACTGTCAGAAAGGAAGACCTGGTACTTTTGGTTCCATTGGGCCCATGTGTCTTTCAAATTAATAGAACGGTCATTTAGCCATACATTGTTGAGCAGATTTTTCTGTTGTGACTATGTCTAGTGAGAATTCTAACAGTCTGTTGATCACCCTTCGTAAACTGTGAGTGGGACAAACTGTGAGGACTGGCAACAGGATCCCCTACCTGGTGAGTTGTGTGCGAAGACGTTATGTTGAAGTAAGTACATCCTCTCGGTGCAAGATCAATCATGAGAATTCAGCTCGGTAGATTCAGTTGAGTCATCAGTCAGCGGCCACTAGTTATCTTGCAGGCACTTCAACTAAAAGTTAAGCGGCCACAGATAAAGCAGTGGCTCAACGACATCAACGAAGCCTATTGCGTCGCCTGCAAATGGTGAATCCACCGCCAACGTTGAGTATCAATTTCGTGGAACTGGCAACTTGACCGCGTTGACTGATTAATCCTGATGTACACTCTGAAGTGAGTGAGCCGAACGGTCCCCGTCATTAGACCCCTCCTTGTTGATGGAAAAAAGGACATTTCTCCATACAGCTAGTGGAATATGGGATTTCAATACGGAAGAACACACGATATAAATACCGTCACCATATCCCAGTCCATTTTCTCTCCAGTACCAATACACATGGCAAACGGCAGCTTGAACTCAGGCTACTCGAACGCCAGAAGATCCACCTCTCATATTCCTACCCTGCCGGCGCGTGGTTTCTCTCGGTATCTTCCCCTGCTACGTCAAATGTCGGACACCAGCCGATCGTTTTCGAGGAATCTCTCGAGAGGGGTTCGTGCGAGCCTCCTTCACAGGACAAATACTCATATACGTTGGGAAGACTGAATCTTAATCGTCAGAGCTTCCACCCAGTACCTCGTTGACGGGCGGGCGAAAAGCGAGGATCGACGCGCCCCTGGATTTCATTCAAGATGAGGAAAAGACCGATCGCATCACCGTCGCAAATTCATGTATACAACCCCCCTCAATGCTCTGGGTATGGTATTCTCAACCAAAGACGCCCACAACCGTCTTGTGGGACGGCATGGCGAGGATCTCAAGTTGGCGGCCTTGGTCTTCTCTCGAGATGGCTACCACGCGAGTATGGCCGCGAGTGGTTGCAATTGGAGTTTGACATACACACAGACGCCGCCTTGGTTTCTTGTACTATGTACTGTCTCAGAAAACCAAGTCATTTGAGTGGACCGACCCTGCCCTAGACATGGCAAATCTTGGTTCCCACGTAGAGAGAGAATGTCACTGTGGTGATCGGCGGAACACAGACCAAGTCAGGCCGACCAGTCACGCTGGACGCGTTTTTGAATTGGCTCCAATTGACACCGATTGACATCCGCGGACTTAACTCTCCCCTCTATCCACAACGCACGGCGACTTGATCCTTGATGCTCAGCTCCGAGCCGAGATTATCTCTATCATAATGGAGTCGCTTTGACTGATTTCACCCCGGGATGGCGCATTGCTCTTCGCGTACAATTTCGCGTATTCGACCACCAGCCGCGATCGACACAGAAAGACGCCCCGGTGGGTCGCAGTGCGCATAATACAGCAGATCTGGGAGGAAGCTCTACGGATGCAGGAAGACACCACCTTGCCTCTGCTTGTGGACCTTTTGCGGAAGCATGCCCGTGCCACCGACGCTGAGATGATAGGCCCTCTTTTAGAGTCATCGACGGCCCGGCAGATCTGGCATTACCTGCTGCGCGAACCAGCAGCCAACCAATTCTTCTACAGCGAGAGGAGCAATGATCAGGTATGTATTACGGTACAGAATGTTTCGCGTCTTAATAACTGATGCAGACAGACCGTGAACACAATCCGGGATAGCCTCGGCATGCCCCCGGTGCGCCTGCCTGACACGCTGTGGAACATGCTGCGTGCCCACTGCCCCATCCGAACCGTCGAAGAAGAGCAGCAAGAGCTATTCAAGGACGCGACGCCCTGCACCGTCCCGGTCACGACGTTCGCGAGAACAGTCGACCGGGCTTTGCGAGCCTACTTTGCTGTGCTGAAATTCACCGACCATATTCAGGTAGTCTACGTTCAAGGCTCGACCGGCAAAGTCGACGTATGCTTTGATAAGAAACATGGTATGCTAAACATACATTGCCGATGGTTGGACTTTGCTTGTACGCACTACCGGTCGTTCTGCCGGCCCTGGTCTCCGAGCAACCTCACCGACACGAACGCCCCGTTCTTCTGCTGTCATGTGGTGGAAGAGCTCTTGGTTCGATCCATTGCATCCATATTCAAAGCACATTCGACGTCTCGACCAGCAGAAATAAAGTTCATGCGTCAAATTGGGCGGCGACTGCGATACCTGCCACACAGCATCAAGTTGAAGCCATACCCCGGGGGCATTCTGGTCAGTTGGGAAGACAATGAGACGGAGGTATTTCGCACACTCAGCCCAAGCGGCCCCGACTACCATGTTGTGCTTCATGATGGTAATTGCGCAAACGCTGAGATGGCGCTTCTCCACGACAAAGCAGGTAAGTGGTCATCGGTCATCCAGGGGTCAATAGCTAAGGTCGTTATATAGCCCTCCCGAACGAAGTGGTGCCCTGTGGCTGCCGCCAGCAGTTCGCGCGTCAGACACACCGAATGTGCCTCTTTACCGGTCTGTCGCACACATCGACATATTATGCTATGATCGCGCTGAACGAAGATCGAGCTTTTTATGGAGTGCCGTCTGATCGACTATCGCCGGGGTCGTATGAGAGTGTGGAATATCTTTCCCAGTAAACGATTCGGAGAGTAGCTTCGCTCTGCAACATATGATGACCAGACAGGAAGGCTTAGCGCGGGCAAGCTATGTGTTACAGGAAGACAAGCGGTATGATCATGACTTGGAACCAAACACATTCTATGCTAACATTCCATGTGCACCCAGGCGCCTGAAATTGGCTCGATTTCGTGTAGTTATCTTATCTTGAGGGTGATCAAACGGCGAATATCTAACCCCTCTAGACTTCTCATCCACGATGGACAAGGTGAGGGTAATTATTGGGGTGTGTTACAGGTCTTAATTTTCGACAACTCTGTGATACGATCTAGGATATGACTAAATAGTCGTCTGACAAGTGCTCGGGGCCTGTGATATCCCCGATTATTGCATCTGATGTACATTTTAGCCTCCTATATCCTGTCCATACGGCAGTCGCCCACGTCGGTGCAACCTTGCATTCAAGTTCGATT